GGGAAAGAGCCCCCAGAGCCCATTCATTATTAGAGAGGATGAAGCAAAGATGCAGGTCGACCTGAAAGAGGGGGTCTTGTCCGCCGGGTGAGACGCGGCTCACGGTAAAGAGTAATGAGAATGGCAGTGACAATGATCATCCTTGTTTCTCAAGAGAAACAATTCTGGCCTGAAAATCTTCCTTCTTCCTTGAAAGAAACAATTCTGGGCTTAGAGTCATTATTCTTCAGGGAAGGAAACTTCCGCACCATCTTTTAGATGAAGTCTCAGTATAAATGTGAACACCATGTATACTTTTTCATCGAGAGTTGCTTCGCATTTTAAAGCAATATTGTCCCTGACTGTGTGAGACCCTGGAACGGGCGCAGTGGACTCAGAAGCAGAGAAACTGAGAGCAAAATCTCAGCCCCGTTCTCTCTGCTCCGTCAGGGACCCGGCCAGACGCGGCTCGGGAGTTAGAGCCCCGACCGTCAATCACGTGAAGAACACGGGCAAAGCACAGCGAGTTCGCGGAGATCGTTTCTCGGCACTGAGAGAACGGGCGTGCACATGGCGGGACGCGCCTCCCTCCCGATCCTCAGCGGCTGGCGGTTCCGATAAAGGTGGAGGGGCCTGGGTTTGAGACAGACACGCGTTGGAAGTGACAGTATGGTTAATCGAACTGTCAAGTGTGACTGCTCTGATCCCGGGCTCCCGGCAGATAAAACTCCCTCCCGTAAGTGAACCACCGGCGACACTGCATTTGGAGAACTTGGACACGCATCTCCTGCGGAACTCAAAGAAAAAAGACGCCATTAAAAAACGTAATAGAACAGAAATCCATTCATGTTTGCTCAGAAAGTGTCCGTCAGACACTGTGACCCAGAAAAGGAGGTTTTCTAAAGACATCGGCCGATAAGCCAGCGTCAAGACAGACAGAAACCAACGTGAAAATCACACTCAGGCCCCAGACGGCAGCCGTCTGTGGTGGCTTTATCAACTCTTTCTTTAAAACTCTTTAAAACTTTGGCGTAAAGTAAATTGTTAGTCGCCTCAACATTAGGTCTTACGCATTTGAATGAAAATACAGACTTTATCCGTTAAATAGATTGTGCATTGAATTAAATTCTAGGGCAGAGTTTGTTCGATTTATTTTGGATAGTAGACATATATGGGAGTGTGTTCCTTTCTCTCCTGTGTATAAAAGAAGATAAGTGAAGGAAATGCAAATGTTTATATCTGGATTTGTGAAATGTCCACAGCTGTAGAAAGTAATATTTTAAATCTCTCAGTAGTCTTGGAAGAAATGGCTGGTCTCCTTCCAGCCGGGAGGCAGAGGGTGTGAGTGAGCAGGTGGTGAAACGTGCCGGAAAAGAGGTGATTTATTTGTGCGTCTTTACGTGTCAATCCCCAAAGCCCTTGCGGGGTGTGATGACCGGCGCACTGTGTGGTAGCATGTCCATGCCGACTGGATCGAATAGGACAGTCAGATACGGGTCCCCACAGATTCGGCAGTTCCCTGGGTGGCCGTGTGTGGCAGAGGGCGGTGGCCTACTCACTGTGCTCATCACCACTCTGATCAACAGTGGCCTGGAGGGTGGGGCTGACCGCCACTCTAGGAGGTCATACAGTGGGACGGACTGCACTTCTCAGGGCGGCCGCTTTGCTCTGCGTTCAGTTTTTTAAATTAGGGAATCAAAGCAGAACTGTTAAATCTAAGATGACCGAGAGTCACCACCACCCTTCCTAAAACTCCTCCAAAGCTAACACAACTTGTATTGCTTTTCTATAGTTTCCTTCCTTCCTTCCTTCCTTCCTCCCTTCCTCCCTTCCTTCCTTCCTTCCTTCCTCCCTCCCTCCCTCCCTCCCTCCCTCCCTCCCTCCCTCCCTCCCTTCCTTCCTTCCTTCCTTCCTTCCTTCCTTCCTTCCTCCCTTCCTTCCTTCCTTCCTTCCCTCTGCCTCTCTCTCTCCCTAAATATCTATGTTACACTTTTGTACCCTATTTTATAAGTGAATTTTTACTTTCTAATGTGTCTTTTCTCAGACAATCCTATGGACCTATGTCTCTGTTTTTAATTCTCAAAACACATTTATTAGTGTGGCGTCCCATTGTCCTGGTCTCCAAGGGCTTTTCTGCTCTTTTCGGTTTTTCATTGCAGGTGGTGCTGCAACGGACCCTGTGAAACCTGAAAGTCCCTGTGTGTGGGGGGGACTTTAAGGCAGGAAGCCCCTTAGTCATGTGACCTGTGCACTGTACGTGGTCACACAGAGAGTGACCACCAAGGTCTGCAACCCCTACAGCGTGTCGCGGAACTGCCTTCAAACTGTCTGCCGGGTGCCTGGTGAAAATGCACTTTCTGTTCATACAAATGCACTTTCTGTTCATAATTGCTAACCGCTTCTCAGTTGAACACTATTCAATATATTTATCGACCACTTGTGTTTACTTTATCAGTAGTGGTTTATAGTCTTTATAAAATTTGTTATTGTTGTTCAAGAACAGCTGTCTCCATTTCCCCCCACGCCCCCCCATCCCAGCCTCGACCCCACCCCCCTTTTGGTTTTGTCCCGTGTCCTCATACGTGTTCCTGAAAACCCTTCCCCCTTCCCCCCCATTATCCCCTCCCACCTCCATGTCCTTTATTTTCTACTGAGTCACTTGTTCCCTTCCTTGTAATTTGAAGGAGTTTAAAAATATTCCGGACAGTAATCTTACAATTTTACGTGTTCTCTCTCTGTCCTACTGCTTTGCCATTTTTTCTCTGCTTGTCTGATTCTCTGACAAGCAGGCTACGTATCAGGCTTAGGCTTGCAGACCCTCAGGGTGGGAAGTGCAGAAAGCCCCCACGTGCCCCTCGTTGCAAGCCCTCTCGCCTTGTCTCGTTTGTCCCGGTGTCTTCTGTCACCAGGAGGCTGTGATGTAGCCTTATCTACAAATCCTTCATAATCATTGTTTATTCGCTTGTCTAATCAAGGAAGTCTTCCCTCGCCAAGCTGTTTAGTCTGATGTCTTATATTTTCTTTTAATGTTTTACTGGTCATGTTACCTTTGCTCCCTTGGTTCAAATTTAAGTGCTACTTCCCAGCCTCCGCCTGGCCCCGCCCACCCGGCCCCGCCCACCTTACCTTCAGCCAGTCCCTTCCACCTCGTCTGCTTCCATCTTCTCAGTTACGTTCCTTCCTCGGATTCCTCTGTGTTGTACTTAAAAGATATGAGGCAACTCGTGCTTGTTCCAGGACTTTACCCCCCAAATATTTCCTGAGCACAGAATCCGTAAATCCTGATGTCCCCAAAGCCTCACTGGACGCCTCAAAGCACAGATTGTCTATTAAAATTTACAAAGAGCAGGGATGTGCGGGTGTGCGTTTAGTCTGGACACCTGAGTGATTCGTTTGGGACGCCCAGTCATTGTTTTCAAATACTCAGCCTGTGTTAAAGGAGGGACACTGGCCGTGTGGTCACTCGGTGGTTGCTAAGGACTGTAGGTCCTTCTCCGTATAAAGAAGCCATTTTCCACAACAAACGTTATCTGAAAACTGAATGAACTCACAAAGCAGGGACTCGACCGTCTTCTAACACACGTTCCAGGAGAAGCGGCGAGGGAACGTTCCCTGCCACAGCCTTTCCCGTGCCGGGCAGACCTACTGAGTGGCTGAACCCAAGGGCGGCCTGTGTGCCTGCGTGTGTGTGCACGTGCGTGTGTGCGTGTTTCCTGAGCGGTTCCTTGTTCCTGTCCGACTGTTGACGTCGGCCGCCCTCCCCGCTCCGCCGATGTCCGGGTGCGCCCATCTCCAGGGACCATTTCCTCTGACCTTCAACGTGAAGTTGCTTTTTACTTATTAAAGTTCTCGGGATAGATGTTACTTTTACCACTGAGATGAATGGCTTTATTTTCATTTTTGGGGAAACTTTATAGAGGTGAAATCGCTTCTCAGAGAATTCAATATTAAATCTATTTCAAAGCCCAAACTTTATCTACAAAACCAATAAATACACATACTGTGCAGAGACATATACACTCATTTAATGCCTTATGTACTTTTTATTAAGTTGATTTATTTTGTAGTAATTTCCCCAAATTTTCCTATATAAATATCTATCACAGCCACTGTAAGATAAATATTACTTAAAGTGTTAAAAATCGAACAAAACAAATCAAAGTCTGGAGAATTCACATTCTACCTTCTCTTTATTTTCAACTTAAAATATGACCCAGTGGCAGGAAGCTGGTTCGGGGACAGTGGAATACATACGGGTCAGAATGATGGTGTAACCGCAGGGAGTACGAAATAAAACACAGTGAAAACCGCCATTTCCCACCAGAAGTCACTTTACTGACGAGGAACAGGGGTCTCTGCCAGCAGTAGACAGCACTGACTCAGCAGGGATGGTCCTAGCAGAGTCCTGATGAGATCGTCACTCACCCTGACGCGTCTGTGTGGGTGTTTTGTCACTGTCCACAGGTAACCCGTGTCCTCCGCCCCTCTTGAGGCTGCAAGGCACGGAGAACGCAGCCGGGGCCCAGCCGACACACGTCAGGTTCCGTGGGAAGAGACCCGGGTGGGCCCGGGCCACTCGGTGCCCCTGCACATCCCAGCCCGTCGGCACCGGGGTGGGAGGGCTCAGCTCAGCAGGTTTGAGGGGACGGCATCTCTTAGCTTGTTAGAAAGACGCTGGCCCAGCAGCTGACAGAACCTGGTAGAACGTTGATCGATCAGGGAAAAACGTGGTAGGATCAAGCCCAGGGGAGAGAGTCCTTCAGTGTGCCCGTCACCTTCAGTCCCAGAAACAGCGCCACCGCCTCCGCGGTCTGGCTGCACCACCAGGGACTTCATCGGCGGAGCAGAGGGAAACAGCCACCGGTGGGGGGCGGGGCGGTGAGCCAAGCCTGGGGGCCGAGCAGGCTAACAAGGTGCCCCAGGCAGGGCGGGGATTCAGCGGAGTGTTTCAGGAGGTGCGGCACAGAGGGTCCCCCCCAGACAACTAGCCCGCCACCGGCCACCAGAGCCTCTGCCGCTGATCAGTAGCAGCCGGGGCGCAGGTACCGCAGGGGAGGGAAGGAGCCGGGCAGGCAGCTCAGGCTCCCGAGGGTGCTGGAGAAGTAGCTCCGCGGTGAGCAGCTCGCGGGCCTGTGCCTCAGCGGTGGGCAGCTTCGCACCCAGTAGTTTTGGGAATGGCAGGCGCTGGCAGCACCGCAGGAAGACGAGAAGCCGCCAGGAGTGAAGCCCAAAGTCTGGTAGCTCCTGTGCCTCAAGCCACTGGGTCTGCAGTGGGGGAGCAGCCCGGAGGTCCTGGGGACGCTGCCGAGTCGCCCGAGGCGCTGCGGGCCGGTGGCGAGGGTCCGGCGCTCGGCAGGGACACGGGGACTCGGTGCACAGACGGGGGCTGTGCGCCCCACAGTCTGGGCCCCTGGGCCGGGGCGGGGTCGGGGTCCCCCGCCGGCTGTGTCCCGGGCCCCGCACATTGTCCCCTCTGCTGCAGGGTCGCAGGGCTCACAGCAGCCCCACGGGGCTCCCCCCGCGGTGCAGGGCCTGGGCCGGCAGCTGGGCGCGCTGCCCTCGGCGTCCGGGCAGTAATCCAGCAGCCAGAGGTTCCCTTGGCAGCTGCTGGGTAAGCCGAGCCCAAAGGTGGGGCTCACATCCCCGGAGCAAAAGGCCACGGGAGTCACCATGGGGACGTAAGAGTCCCCCGAGGGGCCCAGGAGACACATGGGGCCGAGCGCGGGTCAGCTCCGCACGGCCGTGTGGGGGCCGTGTGCTGTGCCGTCGGCCTGAGGCCTCCTTATATCTTCCCCCGCGACCACGGGTGGCAGGTGGCATCACCTCATTAAGGTGGCGTTTAGACACCACCGCCGATGCCTCCACACTCACGTAAAAATACGTTTGTTTTGATTCTGCCAAGTACCCATCATGGCCCCTTTGGCCCTGGACCGTGACTCACCACCACCGGCCATGCCTTCCCTGGACTGGGATTGTCACGTTAATAGGCCAACCGTCGCCTCCCAACCAGTGGTTACGGGTCGCGGCGCCTCCGCGGGCTCCTGCAGTGTGGTGATTAAATGGTTAACGAGGACTCCCTGGCACATGGAGACGGCACTTTCCCCGTCTCCCGCCGGAGGCCAGCTCCCAGAGGCCGTGTCCTGTGTGCTAACTAGGCCAGGGCTCGGGCTGTCCCCACGCTGCTGTTCTGCGAGAGGGTGAGAAAGAGTTGTTTCCCCAGAATGTGCTGCGCTGGGCCGCGGGCCGGCCAGGGCCCGGTGACCGGCTCTGGTCCGCCGTGTCTGGGGCATTCCGTCAGCGACCCCACGGAGACCTAGTGGCCTGCCCAGGGCCAAAAGTGAACTTGTCCTCAGGGGCTAGTGGTTGCTAAGCAACCCGGTCTTCCAGGAGTTTGTCTCCTTAAAGAGTTCCTGCAGTAAGGAACATCCAAACGCCGGCTTCCCGGGGCTGTGCCTTCCTGAGTGACTACGATTCTACCTCCTTGGTCGCCTGTTGTCACGGCTGTCGAACCCCGTGCCACTGAGGTGTAACGTGCTTCTCCGCTTCTTCCAAACAGAGCGTTTCTGCTCTTGCTTTCCCCTTCTCCCTGCACACACACTGCACTTGGCTCCTGTGTCGAAGAATGTCGTTATTTTTGGTCTGTGCCCACCAAAGGCAGTGGCCCTGGTTTAACTTTATTGGAATAACCTGCAGAGACACCGTGTCTATCACATAGCCCTTTTACCACCGATGGCGGAGGCTGAAGGAAAGTTCTTGAGATTTTAATTTAAACTAAGGAATTGACGTTTTGTTCTTGAAAATAGAGATGGTGACTCACATGTGCAGCCTCCACTGAACTGGAGACAGCGATGCCCGTGTGGGCCGTGGCGAGTTCGGGCCCAGGGAGGGCAAGCTGTGGGGGTGGTTTTCAAGGGTCCTCGGAGAAGACAAGCAGAGTTTCCTTCTGTTCTCTGCTTCACACTGAACTTTTTACAGGCCCCCTAAACCTACAGATGCTCTCCACGCCTTTCTTTCCAACCCGAGTTTTCTGGCTGCTCCCCTCGGAGTTCATTCTGAGACGTGACACCCTCCTTGTGTACGCAGCTCTGTGTGAGACGCAGTCAGTCGTCTGGCGAAGCGTCTCTCGGGCGGAAAAGTCAAGATCCGGGAACCATGTTTTCATCCTGTTGTTTGACTTCGGAGCATCCTGGGATTTTTGTGCCAAAATGTTCAGTCCTGAGGCGAAATTAAACCACGTAAGGCGGCTGACGGCCGACTTTGCCGAGTCGCTGGCGAATCTCCGCCGTGCGTCCGAGCCCAGATGCGGACGGGTCCTCGTTTCTGCCTCCCTGTTACCCAGCCTCTGGGCCTTCCTTTTAGCAGAGGGCAGGGGCGGGAACAGAGGCCGGTCGGGCAGCTGCAGCGCCCACACTCCTCTCCTAACTCAGCATTAAACGGAGGGCGTTTTAAATTAGCATCGTCCACACTAGTGTCAGTGGGACAAACTGAACAGTGCGGAACATCACGTCGTGTAACCACGACTCGCGGCAGAAACTAGAACACGCTTACACGCAGAAACTAGAATACGCCAAGGAGACTTAGCCCAACTCCTCCCGGTGTTTTAAAAGATTTTATTTATTTATCTTTAGAGGGGAAGGGAAGGAGAGAGGGAGAGAAATATCAATGTACGGATGCCTCTCATGCAACCCAGGCATGTGCCCTGACTGGGAATCGAACCGCAATACGCTGGTTCACAGGCCCGCCCTCAATCCACTGAGCTACACCAGCCAGGCCAACTTTTCTCATTTTGCAATTTGTTTTGTCACTTTGTTAGGGTGACAACAGTTAACAAGATGTCACTTTACTAGAGTGACAGCGGTTAACTAGATTCCCTAGGTTTCAAGTGTCCGTTTCTGTAACACGTGATCTGTGTACTGCCCTGCGTGTTCATCACTCAGAGTCAAGTCTGCTTCGTCACCTGTGTCTGGCCCCTTACCCTCGATGACTGTGACCCCCACGCTGTGGTCTGTGTCCACGAGCTTTCGTTTGCTTGTCTTGTTTGTTCATCCGCTGCTTTGTCGCAGGAGTGAGCCCAGGGGCTGCAGGAAGGAGACCAGACTGCAACCTGTCGGGTCCACGGAGACGAACTCAGCACCGGCCGACGACCCAGACCTGGGCCTGAAGCGACGCGTCAGGTGGAAGGAGGCGGGGGCACCGCGCCTGCCGGCCGTGGCCTCTCCTCGCTCCGGGCCTGACCTTCTCGCCCACTTGCTACGCTCCGGCCGCTGGCGCGCCCGCTCGCCCGCACTTCTGTGCAGATGACACCGGCCCGGAGTTGTCTGCCGCGGTCGCCTGGGCAGCAGACTGGGCAGAGGGCGCAGCCCCGGAGCAAAACCAAGTTCACAGCAGTGGCAGGTTGTCGTGGAGGGAGGACTGTTGTCATTTGGGTGGCGTTCCCTCTGCAGGCTTTGGAGAAGCAGACGCATCATCTGTTTGCACTAAATTACTAAGAGAATAGTCCCTTCTATTAACCCCCTTATTTGTAATATTTTCTGTGTGCAGAAAACTGAACAGAACCCCCCCACCCCAGACACCTACTTCCTAGTCCCCAGCATGTGACTTTAGGTGGCAAAAGGAACTTGGCAGATGTGACTTAGTCAAGGACCTTGCGATGGGCAAGCTGGGTGGCCTGCAGTGGCAGGAGTTTGTATGTGAAGGAGGCAGCAGATCAGGCAGGGAGATACGGCAGAGGTGACAGATGGGACCGTGGTGGCCCGCTGCTGCTGTCCCTGCAGGGACGCCGGCCACTTCCAGGAGCCGAGGGACGCAGGGCACCGCACTTGTTCCGGGGCCTCAGGGGGAATCAGCCCCGTGGGCAGCCTGACGTCGGTTCAGTGAGACTGGTTTTGGCCTCCAGCCTCCCAAACGGAAAAAGAACCGACTTCCGCCGTTTTCCGCCGCCACGTCTGCAGGACGGCGTCGGAGCGGCCACAGGAGACGCGTATACGTCATGTCAGAAAAATACAGAGGACCAGGTGACGAGCTTTATGTAGCTGGAGGAGCTTGCACCCCAGGTCGAAGGCAAGTTCAAGGTGCGAGAAGTAAGTCCAGCCATCAGGCAATTTCGAGAAATCCTCCTGCCTCCTGAAGAATAAGAAACAAACTCTTTATCTAAGGAGGAGCTGGTCCCTCACGGCTCACCGAAGGGGAGTCACGGAACTCGTCCCACTGTTTTCCGAACGCTCAAGATCCTGCCGGGTGGCCACAGGAGGTCAAAGAAAGCCGGACTTCCCAGTAAAGGCCCTTGAAGAAGATACGGAGGCCGCCTCCCAGCCTTCTAGGTCCCCACGAGACCGCATCCTCCGTGCCCCCACCGCAGAGTCGCGCTCTAGCGCCCCTGCCGCCGGCCGTTCCGTGGGCAGCTGCCGCCGCCCCGGGGTGCAGTCCACACCCACAGCAGTTAAGTGGTGAGCAGAGAGTGAACACGGGCCCCGAATTTCGCGGCGGCGGCCTCACTGCGTGTACGTTGTTGGCTTCCCAAATCCAAGTGTTTCAGGGGCTGAAGGGCAGCGGAGCGAAGTAAGAAAACTGGGAAACAAGTGACAAAGACAAAGTCTCGTTGAAAAGGAGCAGCAGACGCAGGCGGAGAGACGGGACGTGAGCCGCGGGCACCTTTCGGGAGACCGGGGTGCGAAGGGAGCGAGAGGCGGTCGGTGGGGGGCTGCGTGGGGCTGCCGGGACCCGGCCTCCGGAGCGAGGCGGGACCCTCCGTGTGAGCCCCCCGGAGCGTGTTCGTCCGTGTGCAGCCTCGGGCCCCTTTCGTCCCGGGACTCGGCACCTGCTCGTGTGAAACCGGAGCTACGAGTGCAGCTCGCAGCCGTGGTGAGGACGGAGGGAGGTGATAAAGGGGAGAGTGAAGGGGGCACATCTCCAGCTTCAGGGGGCCCCTGGGCACGTCGCTCGTCCTCTTCCAGTTTCTCCATCTGTGAGAACGGGGAGAGCGATGGTTTTCGTGGGCGTGTTTGCTGATTATGGGGGGGACGCGGTGGCAGGAGGGGGGTGACCGCGCGGGAGATGAGGAGCGGCTTGTAGCAGGAGTGGGTTCCGGCTGAGCACTGGCGAAAGCCAAAGTGGCGACCCGTGCACCTGTGGGAGAGAAGCGAGTTCTGCCCAACAGTGACGGTCCCCATGTGAGGGTCCCCGAGGGGTCAGGGGTGGGCTTCACTCAGAGGGGAAGCACAGCCCTGCGTCCCCTTGCTGGGAACGTGTGACCCTGCGTGGCTAACCCATCCGGCCCGGACAGTGCGTGTGCGGTGTGAGAGCCGTGTGAGCTCCTGATGTGTCCCAGCCGCGCGTGGCTGCGAGAAGACGCCCACTCTGACCAGGGACCTGCACGGCCCCTCATGAGTGCGAGGACCCCGGGTCCCCCCGTCATGTGACATGCTCAGGGACGGCCCGGGAAGTATTTTGTGTTGCTTGCTCTTTTCAGACAATATTTGTCTTTTTTTTCTGTAAATGCATTTGCTTTAGCCCTGGCTGGGTAGTTCCATTGGTCGGGCATCGTCCTGATACGCCAAGTTTGTGTGTTTGATCCCCAACCCGGGCACATACAAGAGTCAGTCAACGAATGCATCAAAAAGCGGAACACGTCGAGGTCCCCTCCCCCTCCCGCCCTCCCTTCCTCTCTCTTTCTCTCTAAAATCAACTTAAAAAATTTTTTAAATCATATTTT